AAACCAGGCTGCTCCTTGGAGGCAAGTATTCTTAGGCTTCATCTGACATACTTTGGTCATGTTGTAAGGAGAGACCGGTCCTTGGAGAAGGACACTATGCTTGGGAGGGTGGAGGACAGGTACAGGAGGGGAAGGCCCTCTATGAGGTGGACTGATTTGGTGACTGGTGTAATTGGGATGAGTGTGTCAGAGACAATGAGATTGGCACAGGACAGAACAGAGTTTAGGGCTTCTGTACATAAGGTGGCTATGAGTCGCAAGGGACTCGGCACATAACATTTGGAAGCACATGTGGCATCCACTTCCTAAAAAACATGCCTCTGGAAATTATGAACTTTGATAAATGTCAATAGTCATAGAGGGGCTTCAGGCCTTTTGTTCAGAGGGTTACTATGAGTCCAGCATGACTCAAAGACAATCAACAACAAAACAAAAATAATAAAATAAATTAAAATTAATATAATATAATATATAATATAATGAATAGAATAGAATAGAATAGAACATAAATAAAATAACATAACATAATACAATACAATACAATACAATACAATATGTATTGTTATGTGCTGTCGAGTCTCCTGCGACTCATGGCTATCCTATGTAAAACAGTCCTAACCTCTGCCCTAACCTGTGTCAATCTCACTATCTCTGACTCACTATCCCCGTTACCCCAGTCTCTGAACCAATTCATCTCATTGAGGGTCTTCTTCTCCTTCGTTGTCTCTCCACCCTCCCAAGCATGACTTCCCTCTCCAAGGACTGGTCCCTCCTTGCAACATGTCCAAAGTATGTCAAATGAAGCTTCAGAATCCTTGCCTCCAAGGAGCAGCCTGGCTTCACCTTCTCCAGCACAAACCTGTTTTTTTTCTTAGCTATCCATGGTATTGAATATACCAATTGAATATTCAGTACTCTTCTCCAACACCACAGTTCAAACACATCAATTCTCCTCCTAGTCTTTGTCCAGCTCTCTGATGCATATAGCAAGTGATTGTAGAACCCATGGCATGTATCAGGTGCACCTTAGTATCCAGAATGGCATTGCTACACTTCAGCATTTTAGAGAGGTCTCTAACTGCAGACTTTCACATTGCAATATGCTTTTTAATTTCCTGTCTGCTGGTGTCAAGAGTGTTGACTGTGGAACCAAGCAAGCCAAAACTGTGAACAATCATCCATTATGTCATGTCATATATTATTATATAATATATTATTGTATATTATTCTATAATCATAAATTATATTATATATTATTCAGAAGGAACTTAGGATGGTGTCTCGCGTCTTGAGGAGGTACACATACAAAACACTCGGGGCACTTACTGCTTTATTTTTGTCCCATGTGAGTGTCAGCAGAGGGGATTTGCCAGGTGAATTGGGTCTGCCAGCCTTTGTGTGTGCTGGAGTTGTAAAATATTGAACTGTTTGACCAAACCTGTAATCTGCAATCAAGACTTGAGGAGGGACACATATGGAACACTCGAGGCTCTTATGTCATTCTTTTTATTCCAAGTGGATGTCAGAAGGAGAGACTTGCCAAATGAATTGAGGGTCTCCGGCCGAGAGTCCACCAGCATTTGGTGTGCAGGAATTGTAAAATACTAAAATGTTTTACCACACCAGCAGGTTGAGGGTTAGAGGGCTAGTGTGTTGTGAATCTTAGTTCAAGCTGGACCTTAGGATGGCCTCTCGAATTTTGGAGAGGGACACGTATGGAATGCTTGGAGCTCTGATGGCTTTCTTTTTTCCCCAAGTGGGTTTCAGCAGAGGGGAATTGCCAGATGATTTGGGGATCTCTGGCCCAGAGTCCACTAGCATTTGAGTGTGGCAGAACTGAAAAATACTGAAATGTCTGGCCACACCTGAAGGCTGAGTGCTGAGGGCTAATATGTTGTGGCTCTCAGTTCAAGCTGGACCTTAGGATGGCATCTTGTATTGAGAAGGAACACATATGGAATGCTCGGGAATCATACAGCTCTCTTTTCATCCCTTGTGGGTGTCAGCAGAGGGTATTTGTCAGAAGAATTGGTGGTCTCTGACACAGAGTCCACCAGCATTTGTGTGTGCCAGAATTGTAAAATACTGACATCTTTGGCCATGTCTGCAGACTGATGGCTGAGGGCCAATGTGTTGTGAATCTCGGTTTAAGCTGGACCTTAGGATGACCTCTCGCATCTTGAGGAAGACCACCTATGAAATGCTCAGGGCTTTTATGGCTTCCTTTTTGTCCCAAGCGGGTGTCTTCAGAGGAGAATTCCCAGATGAATTGGGGTTCTCTGGCCCAGGGTCTGCCAGTATTTGGGTGTGCTGGAATTGCAAAATACTAAAATGTTTTGCCACACTTGCAGGTTGAGGGCTGAAGGCTAGTGTTGTGAAACTTAGTTCAAACTAGACCTTTGGATGGCCTCTCACTACTTGAGAAGAAACACATATGGAACACTCAGAGCTCTTAAGGCTTTATTTTCATCCCAAGTGTGTCCCAGCAAAAGGGACTTTCCAGATGAATTGGGGGTACCTGGCATTCACCAGCATTTTGGCATTCCCAAATTATAAAATTCTGAAATATTTGGACACACCTGCAGGTTGAGAACTAAGGGGTAGTATGTTGTGAATCTTGTTCAAGCTGGATCTTAGGATGGCCTCTTAGTCTTGAGAGAGACACTTGTGAAATGCTCAGGGCTCTAATGACTTTCTTTTTGTCCCAAGTGGGTGTCAGCAGAGGGGACTTGCCAGATGATTTGGGGGGTCTCTGGTCCAGGTTTTGTCAGCAATTGGGTGTGCAAGAACTGTAAAATACTTAAATGTTTGTACACACCTGCCGGCTAAGGCCTGAGGGTTAGTGTGTTGTGAATCTTGGTTCAAGTTGAACCTTAGGATGTCCTCTCAAGTCTAGAGAAAGGACAGGTATGGAATGTTCGAGGCTCTTATGACTTTTTTTTTTCTTCCCAAGTAGGATGAGCAGAAAGGATTCACCAGCTAAATTGGGGGTTTCTGGCCCAAAGTTCACCAGCATTTGGTGTGCAGAATTGTAAAATCCTGAATGTTTGCCCATACCTGCAGCTCGAGGTTTGAGGGGTAGTGTGTTGTGAATATGGGTTCAAGCTGGACCTTAGGATGGCCTCTCAAGTCTTGAGGAGGGACAAGTATGGAACACGTGGAGCTCTAATAGCTTACTTTTCTCCCAAGTGAGTTTCAGCAGAGGGTATTTACCACAAGATCAGTTGGGAGTCTCTGGCCCAAACTCTGCCAGCATTTGGGTGTGGTGAATTGTAAAATACTGAAATATCTGGCAACATCTGCAGGCTGAGGACAGAGGGCTAGTGTGTTGTGAATCTCAGTTCAAGCAGGATCTTAGGATGGCCTCTCGTGTTTTGAGGAGGGCCACGTATGGAACACTTAGGGCTTTAATGACTTTCTTTTCATCCCAAGTTGGTGTCAGCATAGGTGAATTGCCAGATGAATTAGCTGAGAGTCTGCCAGTGTTTGAATGTAGTGGAATTGTAAAGTATGAAAAATGTCTGGCCTCACTTGCAGGCGAGGGCTGAAGGCTAGTATATTGTCAATCTTGATTCAAGCTGAACCTTAGGATCACCTCTCTTGTCTTGAGTAGGGACACGTATGCAATGCTTAGGGCTTTTATATCTTTCTTTTTATTCAAAGTGGCTTTCTTTTTATTCAAAGCAGAGGGGACTTGCCAGATGAATTGATGGACTCTGACCCAGGTCTGCCAGTCTTTGTGTGTGCTGGAATTATAAAATACTGAAATGTTTAGCTACACCTGCAGTCTGAGGGGTGAGGGTTAGTTTGTTGTAAATCTTGGTTCAAGCTGAACCTTAGGATGGCCTCTTATGTCTTGAAGAGGGACATGTGTGGAACATTTGGAGCTCTTATTGGTTTTTTTTGTTGTTGGTTTTTTTTTTGTCCCAAGAGACTGTCAGCAGAGGTGATTTGCCAAATGAATTAGGGGTCTCTGGTCCAGAATCCACCAGTATGTTGACATGTTAGAACTGTAAAATACTGAAATGTTTGGCCACACCAGCAAGCTAAGGGTTGAGGTCTAGTGTGTTTTGAATCTTGGGTCAAGATGGACGTTAGGATGGCCTCTCATTTCTTAAGGAGGGATACATATGAAATGTTCTATCTCTTATGGCTTTCTTTTTGTCCCAAGAGAGTGTCAGCAATGGGGACTTGCCATATGAATGTGGGGTCTCTGGCCCAGAGTCCAACAGCGTTTGGGCATGCTGGAATTATAAAATACTGAAATATTTAGGTACACCTACAGGCTGAGGGCTAAGGACTAGTCTGTTTTGAGTCTCAGTTCAAGCTGGACCTTAGGATGGCCTCTCTCATTTTGAGGAGGGCTATGTATGGAACGCTCGGGGCTCCTATTTCTTTCTTTTTGTCCTAAGTAGGTGTCATGAGAGGACAATCCCCAGATGATGTGAGGATCTCTGGCCCAAAGTCTGTCAGCATTTGAGTGTAGGAGAATTGTAAAATATTGAAATGTCTGGCCACACTTGCAGGCTGAGGCTTGAGGGTTAGTGTATTGTGAATCTCGATTCAAGCTGGACCTTAGGATTTCCTCTCATGTCTTGAAGAGGACACATATGGAAATCTCAGGGCTCTTATGGTTTTCTTTTCATCCCAAGTTGGTGTCAGCAGAGGGGACTTGCCAGATGAATTGTGAGTTTCTGGCCCAGAGGCAGCCAGCATTAGGGTGTGTTGGAATTTTAAAATACTGAAATGTCTAGCCACACCTGCAGGGTGAGCAATGAGGGCAAGTGTACTGTGAATCTCAGTTCAAGCTGTACCTTAGAATGGCTTCTCGTGTCTTGAGGAGGAACATGAACACCTGAAGCTCTTATGCCTTTATTTTCATTCCCAGTGGGTGTCAGCAGATGGAACTTGCCAGATGAATTGGGTGTCTCTGGCCCAGGGTTTGCCAGCATTTGGGTGTGCAAGAGTTGTAAAATACTTAAATGCTTGGCCATGCCTGCAGCCTGAGGGTAGAGGGCTAATGTGTTGTGAATTTCTGTTCAAAGTGGACCTTTAAATGGCCTCTCATGTCTTGAGGAGGGACATGTACGAAATGCTTGGGACTCTTAGTGTTTTCTTTTTGTACAAAGTGGGTGTCAGCAGAGGGGACTTTCCAGAAAAAAATGGGGGTCTCTGGCCCAGGGGCCATGAGAATTTGGGTGTACTAGAACTGTAAAATACTGACATGTTTGGCCACCCCTGCAGAATAAGGGCTAGTGTGTTGTGGATGTTGGATTAAGCTGGACCTTAGAATGGCCTCTTGTGTCCTGAGTAGGGCCACATATAGATTTCTCAGGGCTTTTATGTCTTTGTTGTCATCCAAAGTGGGTATCAATAGAGGTGATTTGCAAGATGAATTGGAGGTCTCTGACCCCGAGTCTGCCAGCATTTGGGTGTGCCACAATTGTAAAATACTGAAATGTCTGGCTACACCTGCAGGCTGAGGGCTTAGGGCTAGTGTGTTGTGAATCTTGGTTCAAGATGGACCTTTGGATAACCTCTCGTTTCTTGAGGCTGTATATATATGAAACACTTGGGCTCTTATGGTTTTCTTTTCAACCCAAGTGGGTTTCAGCAGAAGTTACTTGCCAGATGAATTGGAGGTCTCTGGACCAGGGTCTGCCAGCCATTTGGACATGCTGGAAATGTTTGGCCATGCCTCCAGGCTGATGGCTGAATACCAGTATGTTGTGGATCTTGATTAAAGCTGGACCTTAGGGTGGCCTCTTGTGTCTTGAGGAGGGACATGTATGGAATGCCTGGTTGCTCTTATGACTTTCTTTTCGTCCAAAGTGGGTGTTAACACAGTGGACTTGCCCGATGAATGGAGGGTCTCTGGCCTGGGGTCCACTAGCTTTTGTGAGGGCCAGAATTGTAACTCAAAGTGAATCAGAGACATGGGAATAAATCCCCAAACCATAAAGAGACAAACGGCGATTCCTGCTTAGATTGCCTAGTCTATGGTATAAAGAGATTGTCAAATACACCCAGTAATGTGCAATATGGAGAGGATAAAATGGAGCAACCAGACCTCCTAAAGATTAAATCCCTATGTATTTAAAAAAGTGTTTCCCAACAGAGTGAAAAGAAAATCTTCTGACTGGGAAAAAGCATTTGGCAGTATCAGTTTAGACAATGGTCTCATAAAAAGTTTATAGAATCCTGTAGGGCCTCTACAAGAAAAAAAAATTAAAAAACAAAAGACTGATCACATAATTACAAAATGGGCAAAATACATAGGAAGAATTTTCACAGAGGAAGATATTCAGATGGCTAACAGACACATGTTCAAACAGGTTGTGTTATTTGCATAACTCAGGTTGTTAATAAATCTCCCACCAATCCTGATGCCGTATTGCTTCTTGTACAGCCTAGCTTCCTGGATGATCTGTTCTGCATACAGATTAAAAAGGTAAGGAGATAGAATGTATCCCTGGCAGACCACCTTCCCAGTTTTGAACCATGCAGTGTCTCCTTGCTCTGTTCTGATGACTGCCTCTTCATCCAAGTATAGGTTTCTCATAAGCACAATCAAATGTTCGGGGATTCCCATTCTTCTCAGAGTCAGCCATAGCTTGTTGTGATCCACACAGTCAAAAGCCTTTGCATAGTCAACGAAGCACAGATAGACATTCCTCTGGAACTTTCTGTTTTCTACCAAGATCCATCAAACATTAGCTATAATATCCCTAGTACCATGACCTCTTCTAAACCCAGCCTGTACATCTGGCAGTTCTCTGTTGACATGTTGCTTCAGTCATTTTTGGATAATTTTCAACAGAATCTTGTTTGCATGTGATATTAAAGATATTGTTTTATTATTTCCACACACTGTCATGTCACCTTTCTTTGGAATGGGAGCAAATATCGATCTTTTCCAGTCAGTTGGCCAGCTGGCTGTCCTCCAGATTTCTTGGCACAATTTAGTGAGCACATCCAAACACTGTTTGCTGAAACTGAGGAGGACTTGAAGTGCTTGGTGCAGAAGGCCAAGTACTGCAACCTTCATAAGTATTGGGAAAGTCAGGTGTCAGGAACCTCTCCAGAGTACTGAAGAGCAATGATGTCAGGCTGGAGACTAAGGTGCACCTGATATGGGCTATAGTTTTTGCAATTGCGTGTTAGGCATTGGAGAGCCGAATAGTGACTAGGGATGATAGAAAAAGAATTGATGCCTTTGAGATGTGGTGCTGGAGAAGAGTGTTGAATATACCATACACTGCTAGAACAAACAGGTTTGTCCTGGAGAGGGTGAAGCCAGGCTGCTACTTAGAGTCAAGGATTCTGAAGCTTAATATGACATACTTTGGGCATGTTGTAAGAAGGAATAAATCCTTGGAGAGGGACATCATGTTTGGGAGAGTGGGGGACAGTGCAGGAGAGGAAGACCCTAGATGAGATGGATCAGTTTAGTGATTGGGGTAGTGGGAGTAGGTGTTTCAGAGATAATGAGGTTGGCACAGGATAGAGCAGGGTTTAGGGGCTCTTGTACATAAGATTGCTATGACTCACAAATTACTTGACTGCACAAAACAAAAACAACAACAGACACATGAAGAAATGCTCAAAATCACTGGTCATAAGAGAGATGCCAATCAAAATCACAATGAGATACCATCTCACCCCAGTAGCAGTGGCAAAATTTCACAGGACGGCAAGTAAGAAGTTTGGAGAGAATGTGGATAGATAGATACATTGTTAGTGGGATTGTAAAATGGTATTCTGAAAGATAGTTTGATGTTTCCTCAAAAAGCTGAACATAGAAATTCCACATGACCCAGTATTTCCACTGGTTGGAATATACCCCAAGAAAGTTAGATCTGAGACACAAATAGACATTTGTACACCAATGTTCATAACAGCATTATTCAAAACACAAGACAAGGAAACAGCCCAAATGTCCAACCACAATCAAATGGATTGAGAAATTATGTTATATCACATGTTGGAATATTATGCAGCATGCAGGAGCAATGATTGTGAAAATCACTATCTAACTTGAGAGCATCATGTTGAGTGAACTAATTCAGTTCCATAAAGACAAATACTATTGTATGACCATTACTGTAGAAATAGAAAAATAACTAGTAAAAGGTGTCTGAGGATCTAAGGCAAGGGGGAATAAGAGCAGAGGGATGAGGATAAGAAGTGGGGTAATCATAGGGTCGCACAGTTTAATGAGTGGAGAGAGGGACTGGTAAAGGAAATCTGAAAGATCCAGGGTGAAAAACAATATATACAAATTTTATAAGCAAACTAGTATAAAGTGATTTTAAAAAAAAAATTCCTTTTCCAGTTCTACAGAAGTTCAGACTACATTTGGGTGCTTATTACAACAAGAACCAGGTTGACTGTTAAATGGTAAGAAAGTTCTTAATGAAAACTCAAATTTAAAGTAAAATGAGTTTATGCTCTAAGAAAATTAAAGTTATTGTAATAAATATCTACCATGAATTCAGAAAGAGCCTCTATTTCTCTTGAGTTTACACGTGATGCTA